ATAACCCTTCAAACTTTTAAAATATTCCTATCTCGGTGGTTCCGAGTTTTTTAGCTCTGCCCTGGATCTGCTTTGCCTGGTATTCTGTGGTATGGCTGATGGCGAAATTCACTGCACCTCCACCCTAGTCGCCATCAAGCCCCACCTCCCTACTGACTTAATTTTATTCCCAAACCTCCCTTAAAGAAAGCGGTGATAGGTACTGTGCTGAAGAGAATAGAGAAAGTACGATACTTCCTGACCTGGCTAATAAACCCTGCAAATCCATTCTCTTTGCCATTTCCCTTGGAGCTGGCTGAAATAGAGTGACTCCAGGACATCCTACAGAGGCATGCCTTGAAGGTGGCAGGACCAAAGGCTGGAAAGCTCCTGGGTCTCTGGGTCATCACTTAGAGGAGGGACACTCAACCAGAAACATTCTCGAGACTGTTTACAAGACTGAACAATAAACATTTATTGTGTTACTGTGATTTTAAGACTTATTTATTACAGCAGTTATCCTTACCTTAAATAATGTAATATCATACATGGGTAATCAAATACTTTATTTCATTTTCTGTCACTTACCAGTATCTCCTTGTTTCCAACTTTAGCATCCCAATCATCAGTAATTATCAATGTGTCTTGATTGCAAGTTTGATCAATTTTAGAATGCAGAAGTTGGTAAAAATTCATAATTTTGCCATCTTTGGCCTTAGTGGTAGTGCATAAATTTGAATAATCATTATGTTAACTAGTCTTTCTTGTAGGCAAATGGATATTATCCTATCATGAACAGCACTGTACTTCAGGTAGGTCTTGAAATGCTCTTTTTGACGATGAATGAGATGCTGCTTCTCTTAAATTTGTCATTCCCAGAACAGTAGACAATTTGATTCAAAATGGCCAATAGCAGGCAATTGCAGCTCACTAATGCCTAGGAGTCCTGGTATGGCACTATTATAAGCACTTGACAGTAAGATCGGTTTGAACTGCAAGGTTGGTGGTTCAAACTCACCAGCTGCTACTCAGAAACCCTGTACAGTGTCACTATGAATTGGAACCAACTTCACGGGGCTTAGCAACAAAAACAATGCCTAGGATATCAATCTTCAAGCGTATCATTTTTGACAACTTCCAGTTTTCTTTGATTCATATTTTGTACAGTCCACATCCTGGTGGATGTTTGCAGCAGTTTCTTCTTATTGTAAGACATGCCACATCAACAAACGAAGTTCCTTTCATCCCATCAACATTAAGAGATTCTACTTTAAGTGCTTCACAGTTTGTGTGCCTTCCAACCTGAGGGGCTCATATTCGGGCAATCTGTTAGACAACGTTCTGCTAATTTCAATAAGGTTTTCATAGGCTGATTTTTTTTTTTTCCCCAGAAGTAAATCACCAGGTCTTTCTTCCTACTCTTAGTCTGGAAGCTTCACTGAAACCTGCCCACCAAAGGTAACACTGCTGGTACTGACCCAGTGGTGAGGATTTTTGTTTACTTTACATTGGCATGTAACCCATACTGAATGAAGGCTGTGGTCTTTGATCGTCATCAGTTAAGTATTTTAAACCCTTTTCACTTTCAGCAAGCAAACTTGTGTCATCTGCGTATCCCAGTCTCTTAATGAGTCTTCCTGCAATATTGAGCTTACATTCTTCTACATATAAACGAATTTCTTGGATTATTTGCTCAGCATTCAGTTTAAATAAATATGGTAAATGAATACAACCCTGGTGTACATTTTCCTGATTTTATACCATCCGGTATCCCCTGGTTCTGTTCAAATGATTGCCTCATGACTTGATCAATTTCAGACTAAAGAAGTTGGTAGAATTCTTCAATTTCATCATTGCTGGTTTTAGTGGTTGGTGCATAAATTTGAATAATAGTGGTATTAACTGGTCTTCCATATAGATGTATGGATGCTATCGGATCACAGACATTGTATTTACTTCAAGATAAATCTTGAAATGTTCGTTTTGATGAGGAATGTGATACCATTCCTCTTGAATTTGTTTTTCCTGGCTTAGTAAACAATATGATTATCAGATTCAAAGTGGCCATTACCAGTCCATTTCAGCTCACTTGATGCCTACAAAATTGATCTTTATGCATTCCATCTAATTTTTGACAACTTTCAGTTTTCCTAGATTTATACTTCATACATTCCATGTTTCAATTATTAATGCATGTTTGCAGCTTTTTCTCTTCATTTTGAGTTGTACCCTATCAGCAAATTTGTGTCATCAAGGTCAACTCTACTTTGTGTAGGCAGGTCTTCCCCAGTCATAATTTGAGCTTCTTCCAATCTGAGAGGTTCATCTTCCAACACTATATCTGACAATATTCTGGTGCTTTTCATAATATTTTGTGCTATATGGAAGTGTTTGTCTGCTATGCATAAGGTTTTCAGTGGCTAAACATTCAGAACTAGTCTTCCTCTCCTGTCTTAGTCTGGAAACTTGGCTGAAACCTGTCCACCATGGATGACCCTGTTGGTATTTAAAGTACTGGTGGCATAGCTTTTGGCATCACAGCAACACACAAGTCACCGCAGTAGAACAAACTGACAGAGAAGTGGGAACCACTATTGCATCAGCCATTCTCACTGTAATAAGAAATATCTCTTTCCTCTAAAGAATCCATTTACATTCTTGAAAAAAATTCTCTAAACATGGTTCCATAACTTGTCACTTGCCTCCCTCTGTTCATCACTCTAAACATTCTAGTTTCCAGAAAACACCAATCTCTTTTCTATTTGTTTGTTTTAGTGCCAAACTATTTTCTTATTCTAAATGTATCCGCTACCCCCACCCCTTTCTCTGCTTTATAAAATTCCACTCCTCCGTAAGACTCAAAAGGCATGTCCCTGATCACTGTCTCTATTTTCTCAGTATTTTGCACCATCATTAACAGAACATTTACCAGAGGGCAGTGTTACATATTTTTGGTTTTCGTCATCATATAATTGAGTTTCTCATGTGCGTCATCTTTATTTAGCTTTCGTTTGAACACCTGTCCTGTTAGAAAGCTCACCTCAAAGGAAATGCATTTGATTGCTGGCCAATTCTCTTTGCTAATCGTTTTCCAAATCTGCTTCCCTGGTATGTGGACCCATTGACTGTCTCCATAGTTCAGTTGGCTCAAATTCCTTCAGATCTGAATTAAAGCTTCTCATTCCATAATTAGAAAACAATTCTTAAATATAAATATCCTGAGAGTAGGAAATACATGGACAATTCATTCTAAAGTACAAATTACTGATAAGAACAGGATTCTATTACTGAATTTCAAAGATGGAGTCAAGACACCAGGAATATAAGGACATCCAGAATATGATATAGTAGAAAAAACACTGGACTAGGAAATGAAGGATGAGTTCCAATGTGTTTTGTGTTCTCTGAGCCTTGGTTTGCTCAACTAGGAAAGGAATAATTTACATGATGTGTTCAGGGTTGCTGTGAGTTGGAATCGATTCCACGGTAATGGGTTTCGTAGTTTTAGTACCCAAATTGCAGAATTTTGTCTGGAAGTAGTCCTGCTCACCTGGGCTGTCTTAAGCCTTTACTTTGGCTTAAGTTTCTTAGTTCTGGGTGGGCAAAGGGTCACACATGCGTCAACAGGCTTCAGCCTCCTGGGTGGACTCTCCTGGTGCCAAAGATGCTATGACCTACGCCACCCACCCTCATATCAATCAATGAGCCCTTTCTTCCCACCTGGTTTGAACCTTCCTCTCTCTGCCTAGAAGTCCTGCTTCCTCAGGGCTATTTATGGTATTTGTGTCATAAATCAAGGATGCAGGTAATACATTTTATTATGAATTTATTATATATCCTCTTTTCCTGGAGTTTTGCAAGCAAAATATTGCATAAGAACCAACTCTTTATTTGTCCTAAGTTCCACTTTATAGAACTAGGTCATATTACAATTACTTGATGCACAAGATCCAATGACTCAATAAATACTTTATAAAAATAAGGCAGTTATTTTTTTTCTTTTGCAAAACATAAAAAACTTAGAATTTCCCAGACTTTAGGCCTCTCTCTTACCTTTTTTATAGCATTTACTGGGAATATATTGGTGAAGGAAAAATTGTTCAGATGGTATTAAAATAAAATAGATGAAATGAGGTCTATATTTTTGCTTGGGAAAAGTGCTATTTCCTGTTTTTATGTTTGGATTTTCTGTTGTCTTCTGAACCGACTAAGACATGAACAGAAATTCTGCCATTTTGTAGTCTCTTAATAAAATCGTAGTATTATGCAAATATTGCTCATTTATTCTAAAGTCTTTTGATATAATTACAAAATCCAGACCTCCATTTGCTCCCAAAATATCCATTTGCCCTCACACCTCACCCAGTCGGAGGCAAGGGCATTCTGGAGGGCTGAGACTTAAACAAGGTGCCTTATAATTGAGTAACATTTGGTTTATGGTGGCCTTTTTTCTGTTTTTGCTACATTTCCATCGTGCTAATTTTTTAAAAAAAGAAATCATTACAAAATTCCCTTTCTCTTCCACTTTCCTAAGCCCATTCCTTTCTGTCCTCATAGAGAAGTGATTAAATAGTTTCACAACAACAACTCCAGAGAAAAGTTTATGCTTTTGTCACATTCATATTAAATAAGTTATATAAAAAAACTGCTTATAACGTTTACGCCTTCAGTCTCTTTCCCCATATGCTTCTCTCAGAAACACTGAATCTGGTGTGAATTGCGCTCCACCCACCATCCCCTCCAGGTCCTTCTGGTTGCTTAGCTGTCCCATGCACCTGCCTGCATTGCCTCTAAGTTGAGATCCAAGAGGTCTGTAAGCAAGTGTGGCTTCAGATAGCAGACACCTGGGCCTGGTTCCCACTTCTTGCGTAATTTATGAAGAATATTCATGTAGTATGTACAAATATACACATTTGCAGGTAAGAAGAACTCTGTTCTAAGCAGGCAGGTCAGTGCAGTACATATGCATCACAATCGCCAGAGGTGGCACCCCATCTCTCTCTAATGTGTCCCCAGTCTCTTTAATACTCCCTGGCCTCTTGGAATTGCTTAAAGTAATCTTCATCTGAAGGACTCTCTGTGCACTTTTGTCCATTGTTGGGAGGCCGAGCCTCATTATACCTGCTCCAATCACCCTTGCAGATAATCCAGGGCAGAATGTCCACTTTGTAGTGGAGCTCCGCTGAAAACTCGGTGCTGATGAGGTTGGGCGTCCCGGCCCCTTTGCCCCTGGTGATGAGCTGCATGTTGTCACCATAGCAACAGTGCTGGGCAGCCAGGGTGGTACTCTCTAGGGACAGCATGGATCGGATACAGTACTGGGCCGTAGGCTTGTAGATTTCCAACTTCTCCTTGGGCCCACTGGCATCCTTCCAGCGGAAGTCCTTGTGCTTGATGCGGTCAAAGATGTCTGCTGTGCTATAGGCCACTTCTGTAGGGTAGGAACAGGGGCAGCTGGGAAGGTCGTTGATGACTTTGTGCATGTACTTCTTTAAGAACTCACTTTTGCAGCTCATCCACCGCTCACAGCTGTCCGTGTCTGAAAAAGGCCACAGAGAAATCTTCTTACCAAATGCAAAACTGGACTATGGCAAAGTCAACACCTTCCTCCTTCAGCTCCAGTCCCTTGCAGCTGCACCGAACACCAGGTCACAGAAGGTAGCTCTCATCTCTCTTAGACTTGGAGATGGCAGAGAATTTTCTAGTCCATAGACGTCCCCACTCCCTACCACTTTATAGTATAGAAATACATTTAAAAGTACAGAGAATAATTCTTATATAATAATGACTGCCATTATGTCACCATCTAGATTTAACCATCTTTACATCTTTTGTATTTAATGCTGTGAAATACTTTTATATATTACCCTTATCTTTCACTTGGAAAAAGTTAAAGGAATATTTTTCTAGGTAACTATTAACCATGATCTCCTCTAACACAGTTAACAATAATTCACAGGGCCATTTTGAATCACCTCTCTAAACAAGGGGTGATGTGGTGGAAATCCCTCAGAAAAAAACATTTGGGGGACTAAGTCTTATTTCTGCCACCCACTTTCTTGTTTAACTAAGACTAAAATTTAACCTCTTGGCCTTAGACATTTAAAAATCATTGTATGTAAATCTATATAAAATGCCTCAAAGAGGAAAAGGAGTAGTGGTCCCTGCTTTTAGGGGACTTAACATTTTGGCTGGAGTCCCTGGATGGTGTAAATGGTTCCTGTACTTGACTGTTTACCTAAACTTGAAGGTCTTCTTTGCTTCAGAAGAAATGATTGGTGATCTACTTTTGAAAAATCAGCCAATGAAATTTCCGACTCACATGAGGTCACTATGAGTTGAAATTGACTAACTGGTAACTTTTTTTTTTTTTTAATTAAGCATTTAAGTTTGCAGTCACTACCTGAAGGCCTCAGACCAGAACTTGCCAGAGAAGATGTTGTATTTGGTTTTTACAGTAGTAAAACATACTGAATTGGTTGTTAATATTAAAAAATTTGTGATTTCACTTACAAATGTGGATTCTTGGTTTCCTTTGAAAAACCCAAAGATGTATCGCCACTGACTCTGCATTCCTCCTTGAGCACCACTGACTCCTGTGAACAGGCAAATGGGGACCACTTCTCATCCCAGTTCCTGCCTGATTCACTTAATTTGTGGGCTTTATCTCATCATGGGATTCTGAGACATCTAATGTACTGAATACCTTAGTTGGGGGCACCCCAGAAATAGACCCTGACATGAAGATTCTATGAAAATGATCCTTTGGGAAGTGATCCTAAAATACTCTAGTAGGGAAACGGGCAAGAAATAGGGAAGGGCATGCAGTCAACAAAACAAAACAAGCTACCAGTTGCTGCCAAGTTGACTATGACTCATGTTAACTTCATGTGTGTTAGAGTAGAAATTTGCTCCATAGGGATTTCAATGACTGATAGATCTGTTGTTGTTGTTGTTAAGCGCCATCAAGCCAGTTCAAACTGAAAGTGACCCTGTATAGGGTTTCTGATGAGTGGTTGGTGAGCCTGAACTTCCAGCTTTGTGGAGGCAACCTTTAGTTAGCAGCCAAAGGCATCAGTCATTGTACCATCCATGGAAAATCCTCACAACTGGACCAGTAAATAACATCATGATAAACAGAAAAGAACGAAGTTGTTAAAGACTTCATTTTGCTTGCATCTACAATCAACACTTGGCGAAAGCAGCAGTCAAGAAATCAAACGATGTATTGCATTAGGCAAATCTGCTGAACAAGACCTTTTCAAAGTGTATAGAATACAGATGTCAGTTTGAGGATGAAGGTATGCCTGAACCATGCCATGGTATTTTCAATCACCTCATATATATGTGAAATCTGGACAATGATTATGAAAGACTGTACAAGAATTGATGCATTTGAGTGATGGTGTTGGAGAAAAATATTGAAAGTACCATGGACTGCCAGAAAAACACATCTGTGTTAGAAGTACAGCCAGAATGCTCCTTAGAAGTCAGAATGGTGAGACTTTGGCTCTCATACTTCTGACATATTATCAGGAGGGACTAGTCCTTGGAGAAGAACTTTATGCTTGGTAAAATGGAGGGTCAGCAGCAATGAACTCAATCATAACAATTGAGATGATCGTATAGGACGAGGCATGTTTTGTTCAGTTATACATAGGGTTGCTATGAGTTGGAACTGACTGGATGGTACTTAATGTTGATTTTGTAGCAATACTTTTTGACTTACTCTTGTATAAATAGATAATCACTGCAAGAAGCTGGAGCTTCAACCCTGCTGGGGCAAAACAGTGCAGAGAACACACTCAGAGCATTCCCATTCAAGGGGTGAGGGATCTGGATATTTACTCACCAGCTCCCACCAACAACTGAAGCAGGGAAATTCTTGACTGAGTCACTTTCAGGCACTGTGCGTTCATGGGCCTGAGGGGTCTGTAGTCCAGGAAAAGCCCTTAGAAGAAACACAGGAGCTGCCATGTGCTGATCTAGCCAGTGTACCTGGACATGGTAGGAACCTACCGGACATGGGTCAGGCATCTATGGCATCTGTGTCAGTGTGTAGCAGCTGACGTACACTCCTTCTAAGGAGCCCAGATATGGTGAAATGTGGGGTACGTTAAAGGATGCAAAGACAAAGTGCCCATGCATGAGTGATGAGAAAGTTTTGGAAATAGATGGTGGTGAAGGTTGTCCCACATTGTGAATTAATGTCACTGAATTGGTTAAAATGGCAAGCTTCAGCTTATCTGCATTTTACTGCAATAAAGTAAAAAATTAAAAAGAAAAAAGCCTTGTGGGTATTAAAGAATACAATAATATTTCTAGCAGAGAAAGTCTGGAGAGCTCCAAGAAGCAGGTGACAACCACATGGGTCCTAAGGCACAATAGGGTTATGTGGTGGTTGCTCTGGTGGCATAGTGGTTATGAGTCAGGCTGCTAACCTCAAGGTCAGCAGTTCGAAACTACTAGCTGTTTCATGGGAGAAAGATGAGGCTTTCTGCTCCCGTAAAGATTTACAGCTTCAGAAACCCTATACATACCGTCACTATGAGTCGGAACCGACTGCATGGCACACCACCACCACACTCCCAGCCAATGACCAAGCATGGAGCCAGAGCAGTACATTCCTGACAAGTGTGGGGCTCCTCCAACAGGCAGCCTCTGTGGGGGATTCCTCACTTTATGGCCAAGATGCTTTCAAAGCTGTCCTGGGCTTTCTATCTCTAATCCTCTTTCCTTCCTTCTCTCTCTCCACAGGTGTCAGACCTGCAAGCTCTCTCTGCCTAGTCCTGATCCCTTCCTCTTTATCCTTCACGTGCTTTCCCCAACAAATTGCAGGTCTAATCCTTCCTGGGAATTTGCTTCTCAGAGGACCTGAAGTGACATAGGTTGCAATAACATAGATGGTACAGAGTAAAGGAAGGGCATTCAAAAAAAAATGCGCAAACTGAGCTCTTTAGCAGAAAGACCGAGATGCAATGTTAGGGGACAAGGAATTCACTGAGTTTAACTGGAGCAATAGAGGGAAATAAGGTTATTGATATCATATCATGGAAGTCTCCAATGCAGTTTAGATTTGTTCAGAGGGCACTGGAGAACCACTGAAGGTTTTTGAGTCATTTTTGTTATTGTTGTTGTTAAGTAATATAGTTAGTTCCAACTTATAGTAACCCTGTATAGGGTTTCCAAGGTGTGGTTGGTGGGTTTGAACTCCCAACCTTGCATTAGAAGTCCAGTGCTTATCCTACAGTTCCACACTTTATAGTGAGTTGTTATTCTTTTTTTAAAAAAATAATAAGGTTTACACAGCAACTTAGGTTCCCATTCAACAATCTCCACACAAGTTCTTCAGCGACATTGATTACATCCTTCACAATGGATGAACAGTCTCATGTTTTGCATCTTGGTTGTTCTGTTCCATTAATCTAGTTTCTTTTCCCACTTACATTCTCATATTTATTTTAAATTAATCGTTGACCATTGGTCTTATAGAGGTGGTTCTTAAGTGTAGTGCTTATGGATGATCTTCATTATTTTTGAACCAATTTGCTATTTAGTTACAAGATGACCTCAGCAGATCAATTTCTGAGATTTGAAGAGTGTCTCAGGACAATGGTCTCAGGCAATACTCTAATCTCAACCAGTTTTGTAGGTCTAGTTGTATTATTTATTTATTAGGAATTTGAGGTATGGTTCCACATTTTTATCCTATTCTGTCAGGGTTCATCTATTATGGCTCTGATTAGAATAACCGGTAGAAATAGCTGGGCATCATCTAGTTCTTCAGATCTCAGGGTATATGAGGCTGTGGTTCATGTTAACCAGGGGTGAGGAACCTTTTTTCTGCCAAAATTTCTAACATCAATTTTCTGGCCATACACAATTATCAACTTAAATTTTAGCCCGCTGTATTTGGTCAAACATTTAATTAACTCACCCATTTAAAGTGTTGAAGAGCAAAGATGTCAGCTTGAGGACTATGGTGCGTCTGACCCAAGCCATGATGTTTTCAATCACCTCATATCCATGTGAAAGTTGGACAGTGAATAAGGAAGACCATAGAAGAAGTGATGTATTTGTGTTTTGGTGTTGGAGGAAATTATTGAAAATACCATGGACTGTCAAAAGAACAAACAGATCTGTGTTGGAAGAAGTACAACCAGAGTGCTCCCTGGAAGCCAGGATGGCCAGACTTCACATCTCAAACTTCAGACATATCAGGACCAGTCCTTGGAGAAGGATGTTGTGTTGGTAAAGTGGAGAGTCAGAGAAAAAGAGGAAGACCCCCAATGAGATGGATTGGCACAGTGGCAGTAATAATGGGCGAGGCCATAGCAACAGTTGTGAGGTTGGTGTAGGATGAGGCAGTGTTTCATTCTGTTGTGCACAGAGTCATTATGAGTTGGTACTTACTTGATGGCACCTAACAACAAAAACAACAACAACAGTGACAACGATGCGATGGCTGTAACTGTAGTTGCCTTGGCAGGATCAGATCATATGATTTCATGGACCTTACCTGGCCCACAGATCAGATGTTCCCCACCCCTGATATAGACTATTTGTCCTCTAGACCATTGTAGGTTATTAGTTGGTCTTTACAGTAGGGAAATGAATTAAGCATTAAAAGTTGGATGGATTGTAGTAGAGTATAACTAGAAGCAATCATAAGGGCCCAGCTGCGATACTCTGGGAAGGGTAGGACCAAAAGTACTCAGAAAGTTCGAGCTGCCAGGTTTTAACAGGAGTGGTGCCTTTATGCCCATTGCCATGGAGGCTACATAACAAGCAGGGTGGACACAACACATGGTGGCCTACTTGTGATCTTTGGATGGGCTATGAGTTCTTCCTTTACCATAGTCTCAACTGTACTTTACTGTCCTGCTACTGTACCTATTTCAGTTCCTTTTCATCAGAGTGCTTGAACTACTTTTTTCAACCTTTGTTTTTCTTTCCCATATACTCTAGACTTGTTCTACTTAGATTTTTATCCCCTATAGTCATTTGAGGGAAATATACACCAGATTAAGGATTCCTGGTGATGCAATGGTTAAGCACTCAGCTGATACCCAAAAGGTTTGAATCTACCCTGTGGCTCTGTAATCAAAAGACCTGTCGATCTTCTTCAGTGAAGATTACAGTCAAGAAATCCCTATGGGGCAATTCTACTCTGCCGGACAGGATCGTTATGAGTTAGAATCAACTTGATAGACCCCAATAACAAAACAACATCATTGACTAGATTAGCTATCAAACCGCAGAGATGTAAAAAAATTGGGACTTAGGACTGCTGACTTAAAATAGTAATTTTATTTAATGATTTTGTTAAAAGTATACTGAGAACATACAGCACTTCAATAATTTCTACATGTACAATTCATTGACTATTGTCTACATTCAAGTTGTCCAATCACTCTCCTCTTTCTTTTCTAATTTCTTTCTCTCACGTTCACAGCTCTTGAAGCTTCCTGTTTAATCATTAGAGTTGCTTTTATCAAGTTGATCCCACACAGCTATACATGAGCATAATGCTTAAGGCAGCCATTCTTTACTAATTACGTTCAACTCTCTAGTTTAAAGAAAATTTCAGGGGATATTTTTGGTTTAAGGTTTAAAAATTATCTCAGGCATTAATTGTAGGGTTTTACCCAACTACAGTGACTCCAGAAAGTTTGAATCCCAGGAGAATTTGAAATGTTGTTCTTTGTTTTCCCCCTTTTGATTAGGATTCTTCTATTGATTTTCTGATCCAAAGTGTTCAGTAATGGTAGCTAGCACCTTCCAGTTCTTCTGGTCTCATGGCAAATGAGTCAGCAGTTTATGGAGGCAGTTAGCCACTAGTCCTGACTAATCTATTTTTGCTGCTCCAGGTGAGTAGGAATCAGTTGTTGTATCAATTGGATGACTGCTTGTAAACTTTTAAGCCCCCAGGCACTCCACAACAAACTAGAAGGTTGGTGGAGGCACTAAACAAGATGTTCAGCCAGTTAACTGGATGTCCCATGAAACCATGGCCCTAAACCTCCAAAACCAAGAAAGCAAAACTCATGCTGCTTTTTTGGGTAAAAATGTATACCACGCAACATCTGCCAATTAAACTATTTACAAATGTACAACTTGTTGGCATCAATTATATAATTCAGCTGTGCAACTGTTACCCTTGATCAATGTCAATTTTCACAGAAACTCAGGGCTACAAACTTTTAACATAGGTAGAAGGACAGAAGTGAAGAAGCTAAGGAAGCATTTTCAGCAGCACGAGGAGTAGGGCAGGATGAATGTTACCCTTCTATAACTTAGAACTATATCTAGAAGCACAAGAAGCCATTTTTAAAAGACAAGAATTCACCTTGCACCTGAGTAGTCATTTTCCATTTTGTTTGGTAACACACTTGTATTTGCTCTCAAATTTTCTAGCAGACAAGTAACAGGGATTATCAAAGATTTATGCAAAATTAATGGAGGGCATAATGTTGGAAACATTCCATATCTCCTTCCCCTACTGAAGAACTAGAATAATCATTTCTTGATTTCATTAAACAAATCTCATGGGAGCCATGAGAGCAGATTTCATGGCAATTTGCATCCCTCTTATGGAATGATTTATCAATAAAGGAAAAGGAGTGGTCCCTACCTGCCCATTGCTACATAGTCTGTGTAGCAAGTAGACTGTACACAGAAGGGTTACTGGATTCTGTCTGGTGCCGAAGAAATGGAATTGCTCATCTTGTTTGGTGTATGTTCACTGTGCAAGAAATAGGCTGGCAGATTTGGACCCCATCAGAGGAAAATGATGCCTTTAAATGGATCCAAGGATGGCATTGCAAAGGCAAAAGGAATCTCCAAAGCACTAAATCAATATTTGGATACAGAAAAAAAAAAAAAAAAAATCTTCTTACCGACTTCAAACAGTTTGGTGGCATTAAATTCCTCACTTCCCGCAAGCAGACTCACTTCAGTGGCAGCTGTCCTGAAAGTGTCTTCAATTCCTGTATGTAGACAAAAGCTCATTTTTCCAAAGCTGTATGAAAAATCCAGATCCCTTCCCCACAAACCATTAAAAAAAACCAAATACACCTGAACAAAATCTTTTTTGTATTCATTACTACTCACTGGCAGAAACTTGCCAACAGAGGAAATATATATAAAATCCCAGATACAGTTTGCTGTATGAAATCAGATACAAAGACACAGGAATAGGGTCTTCCCAGTGTGGGATGTGTGGCAGATTGATTAGTGGTATCTAGGATCTAGGTAACAAAATGGAGACAACTGAAGGTAGTGGTTAGCACCTTCTATTTCAGAACTGACTACCTGGGTACAAATCATGCTAGCCATGTACACTGGACAAGCCACTTCATCTTTATCTGTAGCTCACTGTCTAATCTACAAAATGGGAAGAACAAAATAACCCACTTCATAGGGTCGCTGAATAAATTAAATCAGTTATATGTAAAACAGTACTCTGAGTAGGAAGCACTCAGTGTCCACTAATAATTTCCCCTTGATATTTATCTAGGTCATTTTGAGGATGCAGCTGTCCACAGACAAACACCAGATATCCCATGTTTAAGGACTTTTAGTATTGCCCTTGATGCTCCAGAATGAATAAGCTAGGCTTGCTATCACTTGCTCTGAGGAACTAGATCCACACCTAAATACCTTTCCCTGCCACCAAATTTGCACCTCCAGCCAGCTTTCTTTACTAATAGGAGTCTTATGAAAAGCAAAGCAAAGAGGAAGGAGCTTTGTTGTAAACCTTTGGTCTCTCTGCTGGCATGATTTCCTTCAAGGGGCTTTCTCCGACTTTTATTTAAGACCCCTCAAACTTATTTTTAGGGATGACATTGGAGACAAACTTTTTATAGTGTGATTTCTGCTAGACCAGCATAACCTTGTATACCCCATGATTCTTTCCAGTTAAGTGAGAATCAAAAAAGTCTAATAAAGTGAAAAGATCCTCCAAATGGAAATTCCTCATGGTCCAAGATAGTCCAGAAAAGGTGGACCAGCCATGAACAGAGCCAGCAACAAAGCCAAGAAAAATGGAAGGAAGACAGAAGAGAAGAACATGCATGAACAGGGCTTTTGGCCACACCCGTCTTAGTGATGAGAGCAAATCAGAAGGAAACATTCACAAGGGTGGTAGAGAAGAACTTATCCTGAGAAGATGACCTGAATGCCAGCTCTCAAAGAGGACACAATGCAAGTCTCAAATTCCCTGACATTAAACGCTATCTGTATCCGTGTGTGATGGAGCCCTGGGACTCTTGTTCCTGATGGAATGAAGCAGCTTAATAGTTAAGCATTAAGAACATGGATCCCTGAATCAGATCTTCTGGCTTCAAATTTCACATTAATCACTTGCAACCCGTTTAACAGTTTCAACAGCTGTTAAATAAGTTTGTTGTTGTTAGGTGCTGTTGAGCTGGTTCCAACTCATTGTGACCCACTGTACAACAGAGTGAAACACTGTGTGGTCCTGCCCTGTCCTCACAATCACTGTTACACTTGAGCCCATTGCTGCTTCTACTGTGCCAATCCATCTTGTTGGGGGTCTTCCTCTTTTTCATTGACCCTTCACTTTACCAAGCATCATGTCTTTCTCCAGGGACAGATCTCCAGATATGTCTGAAGTATGAGGGACAACATCTTGCCATCCTGATTTCTAAGGAGCAATTTGGCTGTATTCCCTACAACACAGATTTGTTTGTTCTTTTAGCAGTCCTGATACTTTTTAACATTCTTCTACAATATCATAACTCAAATGCATCGAGTCTTCTATGGTCTTCTTTATTTACTGTTCAACTTTCACATGCATATGAGGTTGTTAAAAACGCCACGACTTGGGTCAGGTGCATCTTAGTGCACAAATTGACATCTTTGCTCTTGAACACTTTAAAGAGGTCTTGTGCAGCAAACTTCCCTAATGCAATATGTTGTTTGATTTCTTGACTGCTTTTTTCATCATTGTTGATAGTGGATTCAAGAAAAATGAAGTCTTTGACAACTTCAATCTTTTTATCATTTATCCTGGTGTTATTTATTCATCCAGTGGTGAGAATTTTTCTGTTGTTTTACATCAGGATTGGGGAAACTTTTTCTGCCCAAATTGATAACATCGTTTGCAGACCAGACAAAATTAGCAACTAAAAATTAGCCTGTTATTGGCTTGCAGAATGTGCTCTTTGGTTGTTTAAATTATTATATATTCCTGAGTGTTTTTGTGTATCCCCTTCCCCCCAATAAAAACAAAACAAAACAGAGGAACTAGAAGCAAATAGTGTTGAGCGATGATGCATGGAGGAGATTGTAATCATTGCAATGAACTGATGAGTGTAAAACCGATTTCTCACTCAATTCACAATAAAACCTTAAAAAAAATTTAACCTGCTGTATTTGGTGAAAAATTTGATGAATTCACCCATAATATGAAGGCTAGAACTGCTTCTCTTGGGTGAGGCATGTGATGCTAGCTGGTATTGGTGATGTTGTTACTCGCACCTGCTTTTCCAGGTTTGCGTCGGTCAGTCTGCAGTGTAGTTGACTCTTTGTGATAGTAAGTTTTGAAAAGAACTGTTAGGAGCAGTAACTTTTTCCAAACACAAATGCATATTTCAACGTATGTCTCATCAAAGTGGGAAATTCATTATTGCTTCTGTAACATTTATAGAACTCAAGCAGCAGGAAGTTATTGTACCTAGCTATCAGCTCACCATTGCTATGCAGCTAAATGATTCCATGTTGTAGGTTATCAGGCACATCAGCTGGGTCCACATTGAATGGTGAAGCAAAAATATTCAATTCCATTTGTTTAATTTTCTCGTTCTTGAATCTTTCATTAAATGCCTCAGTTAATTTTGCCCATTCTCCAGAATAGTCAAGTGTAGTAGAAGGTTTTTGTCCTTCCAGAGTGAGGAAATGCACCATGTAATTCCTTTCAAGTTGCACTTTCCATAGCCTTAATTTAGCTTCAAATGATTTCATGTTTGAAAGCAGGGAGCTGAGAAGCTGGTCAGGGCCCTGCAGCTTGAAATTTGATTCTGAGATATACTTGGTACTGTTCACCTGGAATGCTAGAACACACAGTGATTTGCTATCATTCAGTCCCCTAACAGGTTTTCCCTTCATCTAGATGAACTGCTTGACTTCATCCTGCAGTTCCTAAAGCCTCATGAGCACGTTCCCATGACTCGGTCACTGCACTTCACAGTGATAAACAAATCACCATACTCAGAGTTAAGATCATTCAGTAACGCCTTAAACTGGTGGCTGTTAAACCCTGTTTTTGACAAAATTTGTGCATAACACTGCTGTTGACATCACATTGTTGAGCCACAATGACTGTGCACAGAGACTTTCTTGGTGTAGGATGCAGTGCCATATAATTAATTCGCTTGGATCAAGACTAAGACGATTCAGTTCTTTCTTGACAAATGAGATTAATGCTTTTGGGGAGCCAACCATGGCTGGAGCGCCATCTGTAGTAATGCCACTTAACTTTTCAAATGCTAGCTCAAGTTTTTTCATTGATTAAACAAGTCACTCAACAAATCCTCACCTCTTGTAGTGCCGTGCATGACTGCCAGTGACAAACTGCAGTTATGTCACAAACGAAACCAGCCAGTTGGGCAGTATTTGTAGGTCCATTGTCTTGTCATCAGCCAGAGAAAAAAACCTGGAAATCTCCTGCGGAATCCTTCAATATTTTTTCAACACTTTGTACTAACTCAGTAATCAGGTCTGAGCCAGTTCCCCGAGACAAACTAACACTCTGAAACAATTTTACTTGGTGTTAACAACTCCACAGCAGCCACGATGCGCTCTTTCACAAACTCTCCCTCTATATGAGGCCTCAGCTTCTTTGTGATTAGCTGACTCACTACATAACTTGTCTAAATAATATTGTCTCTGTCACAAGGAGGCCTGTCTAGTGAAAGAGGCTAGTTGTGATTTCAAACTCTGCTGAGAGCATTGATTTTATCCACACTCATTTGGCTTTCCAATTTACTGTTTCGCATGTTTTGAGCTGCAATGACGCTCCAGATTGGTTTTTTTCCCTCACAGTTAATACATTGTCATAAACTAGGCACACAAGTTTGCCTCTGTCTAACACACAAAAAATTCATTTGCTCATTTCTCTTGGAAAGATCATTATTCTGCATCAACTTTTCTTTTCTTTGTAGTCGCTATTTGTAGGATGCCACACCAATTAAATTTAAACAACTATCCAGTGTGTGTATTGCCAGCGATGCGATTATTTTGCTTTGATCAATGTTCTAATCCTGCATCTTGGATTTGGAACATATCCAATGTTTGTATCATTGACTCTTGAGGTCTTTTCTGTGTTCTGTAGTTTCCTTAATCTTCATCTGATATTCAGTTTTTGTGAAGCTTCTTAATTGTGGACATGTGGCTAAAGATTGCTTTGGAGTTACCATCTGTGTCAATAAAGAAGTGAACAATATTGTCATCAATCATTGGAGGCAAGATCATCAACGTCTCGAGGAATCATCTCACCGCATCTGGTCTCATCATCACCGGATTGCTGTAATTTCGCTAGAGTGTGTTAACACATTCGCCACGTGTACACTCCCAGCCAGCTTGGCACTGACTGTTCACTGAGTCACTGCCATACAGGCAAACAGGCGCAGACAGCCAGTGAGAAGTGTACATGTCTGTTCCGTCATATATTCATTCATGGCCTGTCTATTCTGTAAGGGATGTTCCTTTCTTGGCCCTCAAAATTTACATTATTAGTATGATTCACTTAATATAAATTTATGTTACCATGAAACAAGTTCCAAGATTTATTTACTTTCAAGTCTGACCTATAGTTGCCTTGGCAGGGCTAAACCAAATGATTTCACAGGTCTTAGGGAGTTCTAGTATGGCGCTGTGGATTAATACACCAGACTGCAAAGACATTTGAACTGCAAGG